TCCTAAACTCATATTCAATTATATTTGTGTTTGCAACGTCTGGGAAAACATCCCCAAGGATCATTCAAGGGTCCTTGAGGAAGGACCCAAAGTTGTTGGCCAAGACTGTCCAAGACAGCCCACCCACAGATGGCATTCGACACCTAGTGGGTCAATCAACGCCCTGTAAGTGAGGTTTTGTCTTTTTCCACATACGATTCGGGTATAGAAAGCCCAAGAAATGACTCAGTCCCAGACCACGGACAAATAGGACGGTCCGTTTGTCAAGGGTCGGAGCATCGATGGGTCTTTCTCCAACGTGCAGTTCACTTCCAAGTGAGGGGTGAACTTGTAAATTCACCCCACTTACAAATAAGAGGTTTGGCGGTTCATAATGGGTATTTTTGGTATTTTAAACATGTATATATTTCTATAACACATAAAAGAATTTATTCTTCCAAATCAAAACCCCAAATCCTTTAGAAATTCCCTAGAACTCCATTGGAGCCAAAAATCAAGGAAGGGATTGGATTGAAGAAATTAGTTGAGATTATTCATCAAATCAAAGAATTATATTCATTGAGGTATGGTTTCTGATCCCTAAAACTCTCTTCATCAAGGATCCCAACTTTCAAAGGTGTTTTCTAAAGTTTTAAAAGTTCAATTGTTCAATTTCATGATCTATACATGGGTTCTTGCAAAAATGGTTTTTAAGTATTGAATAATGATTGAATTGTTATTGCATTAATTATTTTAAATTAAAATAACCAATGAACCCATGATTTGGATGAACCCTCATTTTTCACTAAGTAATTGGTTACTTGATATTGATGTAATGTTTATGACTTCTAATGTAGTTTCATATAGGCTATTTATTGATGTAACAATTTTAGGAAATTGATATGTATTTTGTATTAGATTGATGAATATGTAGTAAATTATATTCGTTTCATGAATATTGTTATAATTGTATTGAATTGTTTGTTATGGCCATGGGTAAGGGCCTTGTGATATCAATTGGGTGATTTGGCATTGGATTGAGGTATTGAGGATGGAGTGGTGGTAGGCTTCCCTATTTCATTTCTTTTATATTAATTATACCTAAATTATGTTGTTATTTGTATGGTCCACTTATGGGGCCAGTGTTATGTGCTTTACTTGCAACTGATGTGTCCTTGTCGGCGCTATTTTATGTAATATGATGATTATGTCCTTGTCAGAAACTACACGAAGTATTATGATGATTATGTGAAGTGTGATAATATCTATCTAAATGATAAGTAATGTGAAAGTATAGTTGTTCTTCTATTGATGTTATTTAGGTGATTATGTTTGACTATGAGTTTGCTTTGTGTGCATATTCTTAGGGTTGATGTATGATATTCCAACCTGACTATATGAGTCTATGATGGTCTTATTTATGATGATATGATAGTGTATTAGATGACTTAGAGATGATAAAAATTATTTATATGTACTTCTAGGATGACATGTGATATGAGTTTAAGTGAAGTATGTAGTGTATTTGTCTCGGTTGACTTGTGTCCCACACTTGATGTATGTATTAATTTAAATGATCAGATGTCTTGACTTAGAATGTTAATGTCTCCTAGTCTTGAATGCATGAATGATGTATGACCTTGAATGATATTAAGAGGGTCCTTCATATAAAACCATTAACCTAGTGATAAGGTTATGAATGTTGAAGTCGTAAGCCATAATGGTACCTTCAAGTAAAGGAATGATAGACTTAAGGTTAATTATTTGAATTGCATCATATTAATCCTTAGGAAATTCATGATGAGTTTCTTGTCTCCATTGTTAGTTAGCCCTAGTGGACCTTTATTTGGTCGGGTAAATGTGGCTGGGTTATCAAAATAATATGGAACCCCTTTATATGAACCATACGTGTAAATTATTCTCTGAAAAGGAAGGTTAGCACCGAGTGAGTATGGTAAGGGAAGTATTTCTAGTTACAGAATGAGACTAGATTGCAAATTATGCCCTTCATATTCCTTAATAATGTGCCTACATGGGATGTATCTAAGTTCTACCATTGGCAAGTAGAACACCATCATCGGAGTAGGTGACAACTTTGGATTCCATGTCTTACTATCATGGTCTATGACAGTTATTTCCTATTCTCATCATATAGAGTACTTATTATCATTAGAGAAGTTGTAGGAAGTTTAGCTTGTGATATGGAACTCTATCTATACATTGCATAATAGGCTTCAAGTGTTAGTTGGAGTACCTAGGTCTTGTCCAAGACCATCACTTGAATGTCCTTTATCTGTTGAGTCTCTCAAAAATGAACTAGTGAAAGTAATAAATTAATTTAAGAAAGTATATTAAATAATATAAGTACATATCTAGAGTAGTTAAGGGGTTTTTAGTTAATGTATTAAGGGGGCATAGGAATGCTCACCGCGTATCTTACCTAGATGAGTCTTAAGAATGACTCTAAGTAGGGAATATGTTGTTCGTGTGGACATGATCTAAACTTAGGTAGTCTTAGGAATTAGTTAGGTAATCTAGGTCAATCATGTACGTTATCTTCTTAATTTACATTAGTAAGTCTTTTGATAGCCTTTGGTATGAGAATGTCATATTATCGATATGTTGAAGTGTTGATGTCTTTTAAGTGAGTATGTGTCTTATTATAAGTATTCTTGAGGATCATTAGGTGTTCTTAGGGAGGTTGTATGGGCGGCTCTCTCTTTGTGTTGCATAAGTGAGTGTTCGAATAGGTTTTAGTGAGAAAACTACATGCTAATAAGTTTTAAAAGGGAATAAAAATCACTTCACTGTAACAGTGAATTCCTTCACTTTACAGTGAGTTGAGCTCACTGTTAAGTTGGTTAAAAAGGTGTTAAATTGTTTAAACATTATCTTATGTGTTTCAAAGTGTTTAAATGTTACTCTTATGAATATAATATTATTTTTAAATGAAAAAGATGTATATATCCAATAAATGTCAGTTTTCTTGATTTTCATGCATAATGTCATACTTAGTACAGGTGGTTGTACTAATCCATGCTTTTATTTATCTCTATAGTTATTGGTAGGTGAGGAGCATTTGGGAAGCAACACTTTGATCGTACACTTTTTCAAGTGAAGTCGAAGTATGTCCTCAATTGATTCGAGGGAGTAGATGTCTTTTATGTTTCCTATTGAAGTATTGCAATAGACTATGTATTTCTATATTAGCATTGTGTATGGGCCGTGCCCGAAAAGTATTCTCGTTTCTTATGATTGATGAGATTGAGACTTAGTATTCTCTATGACTTTATATGAAAGAGTTTTTAAAGACTATGAAGTGTTTTTTGAAATGTTTTAATTCCTCACTACTTTTCATTATGTATATGCGATGGATGATATGTACGGGCTTGTACAATATCTTTGAGGGGTCAAGTACACATGTCGCAAATCCAAGATTGACCCTAACTTCTACGGTATCGTTTCAGGTTGTGATAGAGACATGGAAGTATATATTCTCTCGACGATGAGGAAAGAGATTTCACACATTGTTAACCAAATTTTTAAGTAGAGGACTCATTATCCTCTCTGCCACACAGAAAGGGATCCTTAGTCGTGCAGAGGGCTCCGTATCCTCTCCGCCACACAGAAAGAACCTTATTCGTACCACCTAAAACCCAAAATTTGCTATGATCTTTAAAGTCCCAATTCGTAGGGATACATTAGTTTCTTCCAAATTCCTTTTTGATTCAATAAACCAACACAATTTCATGAAATATCACTCAAAATATAGCAAGGAACAACCGTTATTCGCAAAACCCTCAGTTCAAGAAGTCTAAACAACCATTATTAAAGGATGAACTTAAAACTAAATAATTCATCAAGAACATCTACATAAACGACTTCATCAATGAATTTAATGGAATGACTACATGATTGACGTGTGGAAGGAAAAATACATCACAATTAGAAATTTCACATACCTAAAAGAACAACGTGCTTGATGAAACATTAAGGAAAAGCTTTGAAGATGAATCATAGCCTTAGCGCCTTCTTGACATTATTGAGTGTAGAAATATTAGGACTGAATGAAAGGGTTTTGTCAATGAATATTGATTTTACTACGCGCTAAGTGTAATTTTTATGACTTCCTAAGAATTTTTAGGATTAACGCATCCTTAAAATAAATAAAATAAGCTGAAAGTTAAAAATAATTTTCCAGCAGGCACTGAGGTCCGTATTGACCACGTAACGCGGAGCCATCACAAACCTGCTAATGATAGCCAATTTTTGTATCTTTCTGGGAAACAAAATTAAATTATTTATTGTTTTGAATTAATTGTGAAGATATTAAGAAAAATTAAAGGACTTTTATGTAGTATTGTAGTTACAGGTTTTCATAATTAAGCTATATAAGTTAGCTTCTTACATTTTTATGGTTTAGTCGAGGACTAAATATTGCTTAATATATATTAAAGAATCCTTCTCAAATTTATTAAATGAACATATAATTTACGAAATTCAAAGGTTACCTTTTAAATATCAGTTTCTTACAAAAAGAACCATTTCCAAAAATTAGGGGTACAGGAAAGGGTGGACCACATTTGATCTTATTTATGTGCTCTTGCCTTGAATTATTTCTTAAAAAATTGTTTTCGAAGCTTGAAATTTACTGTAACCCAAACTTACAACTGGTAAATGTTACTCTAATGTTAAGGAGACATGAAAAATATATTATTTTAACTCATTTTTTCCAAAAAAAAAAAATTAAGACTGGAGTTGGAGAAAAAAAATCTAAAAAAAGGAAGAGAATGAGAATCTTCAATCTTAGAGAGAGAATCTGCGGTAAAGAAATACTTAATAAATGGACACTACACGCATGAAAAGAGCGAGACTTAAAAATTTCTTGATGATGCATGGAACAACCATATGAAATGGGATGTCATACACAACAACAAGGTAACTAATGTAAAGACAACTATTAAATAATAATAGTTATACGAAAATTACAATAATAAAAATAATATAGATATTTGTGACATAGCTTTTGTTGCATCAAATCTTATTTAACGAAGGACATACTTTAAAATTGTGAGCTTTATTTTTACTAATATTTTGTTTCTACACTTGTGTCCGGCGTTTGAGAAAAGAATTCATAGAAAATAGAAACAAAATCTTCAATCGCAGAGGGAAAATATGTAGCAAAGACAAACAAAGGAAATGGACACTACAATTATGGCAAGAGAAAGACTTAAAATTTCTTGATGATGCATGGAACAACCTGATGAACTGAGATGTCATACAAAAAAAAGGTAATTCATGTTATGGAAGCCATTAGATAATGTTTATATAAATATTATACAAATAATAGTAAAATAGATATTCTTGACATATGTTTTGTTGCTAAGCAAAGATAGTCCCAGTTTATCCAATTTAATGAAGAACATATGTTCAGAATTGTGAGCCTTACTTTTACTATGTTTTTATATTTAAATTTTAAGATTGGGATTGGAGGAAATAAATCCAAGAAATGAGATAGATAATATTTAATCTCATAGAGAGAATCAGTAATGAATAAACATAAAAGAAATGGACACAACAATCATGATAAGAGTGAGTGTTAAAAATTTCTCGATGATGCATGGAACAATCTGACGAGCTGGGATGACATACACAACAACAAAGTAACTCATGCTAAAGCAGCTATTAGATAATTATAAGTCTTAAAAAATAAAAATAAGTTAGATATTCATGACATAACTTTTATTGCTAAAAGAATTAGTCGCAACTCATCCGATTTAACAAAGGACATATATTCAGAATCATGAGCTTTATTTTTACTGAGATTTTCTTTGTAAATTATAAAGATAGGGTTGTAGGAAAGAAATCAAAGAAAAGAGAAAGAGAATCTTCAATCTCAGAGAGAGAATGTGCAGCAAAGAAACACAAAAATAATGGACACTACAATCATGACAAGAGCAAGACTTAAAAATTTCTCGATGATGCATGAAACAACTTGATCAACTGGGATGACAAAAACAACAACAATGTAACTCATCTTAAGGATGCTATTAGATAATAATAGTTACAAATAATTAAACAAATAAAAATAAAATAGATAATCATGACAAACTTTTGTTGATAAACAAAAATAGTCGCAACTTATTCTATTTTACGAAGGACATATGTTTACAATTGTGAGTCTTATATTCTATTAGTTCTCCATCGTATTTATAAAAATAAGAATTTATGTAAATTGAAACAATGATCTATTATTCCATATAACTTCCTCCCATAGAATATGGGTTTAATCAACAAATTAGAGTACACAAAATAATGCATCGAAATATCGATGAAAAAGATATTGTGACATACATGCCTAAATATTCTCTTTGATGAAGAAAACGGAGAATATCCAAGAAAAACAATTAACTGTAATCTTGGATTAAAAAGATTGCTCTAAGATTTTCGCATTATCAATCTATCCCACGCGTTAAAAAGTACATTCCTAAAGATCACTAAATTTCATTAATTAGTACTCGCACATTTATTGTTCCTTATTTTATAACTTAGAGAACATCCATATTTCTCTATAAATTCAAAGTCCAATTGACGTCATGTTTATTGAACAATTAATTAGTTTCATCTTTATAAAAAAATAATAAAATGCATTGTTTCTACGGAAAAGGGCCTAAAATACCCTCGAAGTATTGAAAATAGTACAAAACTACCCTTCATCCACCTATTGGTTCCAAAATACACTTTTCACCCACCAATTGGCTCCAAAATACCCTTGTCAACCACCTTTGTGTTCAAAATTGATTACTTATTTAACAATTTCTAATTTTAACTATTTAAATATATTTAAAAATATTATTAAATATATTTAAATAGTTTAAATTTGAAACTGTTAAATAAGTGATCAATTTTGAACACAAAGGTGGATGACAAGGGTATTTTGGAGCCCATAGGTGTATGGAAAGGGTATTTTGGAGTCAATAGGTGGATGGAGACTATTTTTGTAACATTTCTGATAGTTCAAGGGTATTTTTGGCCCCTTTCTATTATTTCTATTAAATTTCATCTTCATATAAGAAAATCTGTTTAGACGTTTGCATTTCTATTCATGTGTATGTAACCTAAAACTTATATTTTTGTGGAAAGATTTCTGCAATGATTTTTTACTAGGAGTACCCATTCTTATTTCTACTTTAAGGCAATTAAATATATTTTTTTTGGTGTTAAAAGTAATCAGGTAATCCAATTGTGGCTTAAACAAAAATTTCTATTCATAGATGTAATACCTTGGCCCTCGAAAAGGGCTAAAAGGGGGTTCATAAAGCCATTATAAATGTTATGTGTGTGGTCAATTTAAAATAATCATATTTCTCAGAAAAAAAATAAATTGGTGCATAACTACATACAAAATTAAATATCTTTGAGTTCTCTTTCCAACACCACCAATTTTGTTTCATTTCATATTCAAAGTAAAATGATATGCCTGATTTAGTGAAGCCTCTTGTTGTAAGACAGCTCAACAGTTTTTAATGGGATAGTTTGGTCTTTTCCCGTTCCTTCTAGGCCTAAGCCATGTTTTCCCCACCCAATTAAGAAACTAAATAGTGCTAAAATATTTTTTCACGTGCTTCAACACTTAAAAGAATTCGAGCAAGGTTCCAAGAGGAGAAAGTCTAGGGTTCAAGAATTCTTCAAGTATCTATCGATTGCACCAAGAACCTTTGTTTTTAACACGTATGTAATACTATTCATAGTTATGGACTAGTTTTTGCTCAAACACAAATCTCAATTGAATAAAAAATTGTCACATCAAAAATATTCATTCACAGTTCTTGAGATGTAATTTATTTCTATAACAATTGAAGTTTAGATTTCCTTTGTTTTTTAGAATCTTATAATATTATTTATGCTTAGTATCAAAAGGACTAGTATGAAAGTCTCTAATGTAATGACTTTGAGTTTGAAACATAAATAGAATTTTGAGTTATCATTGGTTTTGTCTCGACATCTATCCTAGTATTAGAGGTTCCAGAGAGGTTAGAGTTAAAGAATTTCTCAGTACATCATTCCTTTAAACACTTTTTTGCAAATTATTATAATAATTATGATTTTTGCAATTATGTATTTTCAGACATTCCAATCGAGTTTACATTGAGGTAAATATTTATTTGAAGACTATTTAAACTTCAGTTACTCCTCTACTAAGCAGTCAACCAAGCCAAGGGTTCGCTTGGGGATCATAAATATTTTACGAGTGTCGGCAACTTCACTTGTGTAGACTAATGTGTGCAAAACATTGTGTCATAACACAGAGTTAAAGAGTCTTAGGACGTCTATGAAATCATCTCTAGTAGAGTCCTTCTTTCTGTGTGAAGCACGTCATATCTATAATTCGGAAGATACAACATTTAGGTACATTCACTTTTTTTTTCACTTTTGTTCGTGTGATAGAGTTCAAGTCTAGAAAAATTTTCTTTAACTGGTTCTTACACATTTGTTTTCAGAGCATGCCTCTGTGAAGAGTTATTTGAGGACGTCCTATTAGGGGGAATGTTAAGATGATCTGATGTACCAAAAGTGAAACCCCCTACTAGAGATGTCACCAATGTGGAATTGAGGAATGTTATCCTGATGCTGACTTAGGTTGTCGAAAACAAGGCTGGTCAACAAGGTGTTGGTCGTTATGATGTGGCTTATATATCCAGAATCCCTATCTTTTTGAGGATGAACCCCCTAAAGTTCATAAGGTCAATGGTCTTTGAGGATCCAACGAACTCTGGGGAAGAACTTCAGAATGTGTTGGACGTCAAAAGTGTTGCTAATGTAGAGCATGAGGAGTTAGCCTCATATTAACTCAAAAGTGTTGTTAGGATATGGTATGATCAATAGAAAAAGAATATGGAAGCTGGTACACCACAATCGAGTTGGGATGCGTTTGAAGATGGTTTGTTCGGGCGCTTCATTTCCAAAGAGCTAATGGAAGAAAAATTAAGAGTTCATGAATATGAAGTAGGAGTATATGTGTTACTACCTGAGAGTACCCCCTAAGCGTAACACCGTGTAGAGGTCTTATACATGTCCTTATCATTCATTCATTGCATAGTTATGAAAATTCGTGCGGATTTAATCTTTTGAATAATATAACACAAGACATAAAAGTCATCTATTTAAAAATCATAGATACTGAGTTGTGTAACTAAGTCTCATATTTGCCATCATAGACACAAATTCAATATAATAGGGACACCACCCTTACAATATAAAACGAACACATATATTCTATTATAAGAACTTCAAGAAACTCTTACCATAAAGGTCCTTGAATCATTAAGGATGCACCCGATCATGGGAATAATGATCCAAGCTCTTAATTCTGGGAAATGTCCATTAGTCATCACCACCTACACTTAGTGTAAAAAGATTCAGAAGAATGGTATTAGTACAAGAATGTAGAAAGTATGAAAACCATGCAAAAACATATTATTAAGAGGACATTTAGTTAGAAAACATGCCTCATGTCATTTTAGTTAAACTCCTTAAGCATTTGATACAAAAAGAATAATATAGTTGACATACATCATAAGACATGGATAACATTCACAATAACACATAAAGTTATTTATCACAGTTAAGAAACATTTAGTATCTCCAGTACATTACCGTTCCTTTGTACCTTAGATCCTTACCTCAAGTAAACCTTAAGTAATACTAAGTGCAATGCATGAATAATATCCCATTCCATCATTCATACCAATGTATCACCATAAGTTCACCAAGGGTGAGCATTCATATGACCTTCATCAATCGAACCACATATATTCATAAGGGCATAGAATATCATGTAACATAATATGTACATAAGAACCATCACCTACGAAAACCCCAAGTAACACTAGTGCAATGTGCTACTATTAAGTGTTTCTATGAAGTCATCCTCGACTAGGCACATCATATTCAGTAAAATACAACACATGCATTTAACATTAGACATAAGACCAACATACTTCATACACCTCATATACGGAATCATTCATTCATTATACCTTAGTCATAATCCATTTTATGTTTATGCACATCTCATGAAAAATATACAAGTCCATACCATATGAAACAGTATAATGAAACAATAGTTGACATTGTATATTTGGAGTTCAGCTCATCAATACATCACAAGACCTTACTCATAGCCCAAATCTAAATCTACTAATGTAACGTATATGTAAAGCCCATAAACTCACACACACCAAGTGAACTTACAAAGAGGTCACAAGCATTGTCCTATACCTAATACATCATCTGAACAAGTATGGACAACAACATGCATACTAAGTGAGACCAACATCATGTATATCAAATGAGATTAAAAACATACATATTATTTATATCAAGTATGTTAACATAATAACGCCATTCATAAGATATATACATATACATAAATAACCCACCCTACAACTCCTCTTAATGCTTACTTGTGCAATGTATAGGCAAAGTCTCATTCCCTTACCTACACTAAGTAACATATCTTAGGTAGTCCTTGTTAGGGTTCATAGTCTTATTTTCATTTGTTCATTTTAAGATTCGGATGATCCTCCCTTCTTTTTGTGAAGGAACACCTCTCATTGTTAAGTTCACTGTATGCTAAGCTAAAAATTAGTTCATAAGATAGGCCTTAGGGTATTAATCCTTTATATCACATGTGCATGGATCATAGGTTATATGATGAGAATGTCCTTTCATCAAAAACCCACATCATATGAGAATGTCCTTTCACACAATCATAACATCCATAACATAGTGTAGTTAAATGTAAAATTTACGAAATATTTCAAGGGACTCTCATTTACTAGATTATCATTAACCTTCTTATTTCATGCATTCATGTGTGTGTAAATATTTGAGAAAACCTTTCAGATAAACACCATTAGACAATACACGTTCGTACTTTACTAGTCATATACTTTTCATGCACAATATGACATAAAGGTGGATAGAAAAATTATTCTTTCAATAAACACCCTCAATATATCATACTCATAGTAATGCATGGCGTTTATGTGTTACATATTAATTCTTGTGACCACATAATAGGAAAAACATTATTATTGAGGGAAACTCCCTTCAAAAGATCATAACATATTTCTAATATCCCAAAGTTATGGACAATTCACATATAAAGAATTTAGGTATTGTAAACCATACACCAACATTTCATCATACGAGGTAAGAGCACATTAAACATTTGAATAGAAAACTCCTAATATTTATAAGATAACACTTTCATATAGGGGTTATTTAGGTAGGCTTCATTCAACAATACTAATTATCACAATCAAGCATGTTGACCATACCTTACCCTAACATCGTTATTCACATTATACTTCTTATTATCAATACACCCAAATCATGATACTAACATTGAGGACTATATACACAACCTTCATGGACACCTTCATACTAATGTTCATCATAATAACTATTTAAATTACATCTATTTCCCTCAAGGACATAATCACAACATGTATAGATAGGGAAGAAATAAGCACCACCACCATAAGTGGACAAAACCATAGAACATAAATTCTAATAATATAGACAAGATGTTAGGCAAACTTACCAATTGTCCAAGACATGATCATCATTGACCAATTCTAAAAAATTCAAAATAATATTTAAAGATAGTAATAGCATTCCATTGTACATCAGAATTTATGTTTAATTCAATTAACATCCAATCAAGATCACAGAACCCATTTTATATGCTAAATTAAGAATAGGGAGATCATGAGTTCTTCAAGGAGTTTCATTCAAAATCATCATTTAAACCTTGATTTAACATTGATTCATCCTTATAATGTCTTTGAAAAAAATATGAATCTGAACCCATATTTAGATTGGAAATTGGAAAATTTTCATCATGTAAAATCCTTTGGAAATCGTTAATAGAACTCCTTTATTGAAAGGTTATCCAAGGATCCAAAGTTATAAAACCTTATAGATTGAAGAGCCTCGAAAATTGAAGAAAAAATCAGTTGAAAAGGTATGTCCTAGCCTTATCATGAGATTGACCTCCAATGGAGTTTTTGAGAGAGACTATTTTTTGAGGGAAGACTTTAGTTTTGAAGAATGAATTCTAATTCTACAATAAGGTATTTTAAAAAATCTAAAATAGGTAAAATAATCATCCACCATTTAATTAGAAAGTGGGGTGGATTTACCAATTTAACCCTTGGTTGGCCAAGACTTTGGCACTGTTGCAGGTGGCCATTGACAGACCATCAATTGATTGAAGGTTCCATCTTATTCATCCGTAAATGGTGGCTGAGGCTTGTCGTTTTGGGTTCTAAGATACAACGTCAAAGTATGGAGTCATGCCCCTTTTCTATGGGTGTCAATTGCTTAACAGTGCATTATTTATGGTCGTTGCTCAATCTATCTTGGTAGCTTTATGGGCAATGTCTTGTACCTCTTAAAGGACCCCTAGTGTGGTTCTTGGGTAGTCATACCTGGATATTTTGACCCTAAACACGACCATCTTTATAGTTGGGTCACCTACTATCATTGAATACTCCAAATAACACTTCAAAACAAGGCAAACAAACTAAGACATACTAGCACTCAAAAGACTAGTTCTAGATGTCTTGGTCGTCCTTTAACGTTTTACCTTGAAAATCTTTAAACCAACTGTTAAAATGTGTTCTTACCTTATTGGAAAGTTATTATCTCTTAAAACTCATGAGAAGATCTAGTTCATCGTAGTTCATTTTGCGGGTAATAACAATATGATTGTGCTAGAGTAAACCCTCATGTTAACTCAGCTATCCCGCTATGCTCTAGGATGGAAGCTGATATGAGGAGCAAGATGTGTTTTTTTTGTATCTAGGCTAGCCCGCTTAAAAAGTAAGGTAGGTAAGGTGGCAATGTTAAAAGGGTTTATAGAAATAGACAACTCCATGATTCATGTACAGTAGGTTGAGAAAGACAATTTGAAAGAAAAGGAAGATTTCTTCAATTAAAGTTCTAAGGCAACAAATCATGATTCCCTCCAACAGAAGATCGGGAATGTAAATCGGTCATCCATGTATCAAAGGTTATCTGAGACTGATCCATTTTCAGCTAGTGATTATCTACCAAATAGATAAAGAATGATTTAAGGAAAAAAAACTACTAGAATTATAGAGATCATATTTTTCAGTCGGAGGGCAGTATGGCACAACCGTTCAATTGCAACCCACTTTATGGTAAGTTTCATTAGATTTAGCCGGGAAAATTCCATGTTTGTATTGATGGTTGTTACTAGTGTTTAATTAAGGATCACTTTTGTTGGGACTACATGGTGTTGAATCAGGTAGTGAGGCATGAGGGCCCCAAACTTCTTCAGCACCCCCACTTGTTAGGACTACACCAAAGGGAGCTACTTCAAGAACATGTCGAGGTTCAAACCGTTTGTATTCTATATAAAGTTTCAAGGATAAGGAGAGCTCCCTATGTTATTTCTAGTGGTATTCTTAAAGTATTTTCTTAGTTATATAAAGACCTTACTTGATCCAAACAGGAATTTGTCTCTTATGGCTCTTTATTCATCAAGGAGGTTCGGGGATTTTGTTGTACAACTTCTTTATCCCTATAGTGTTTCGATACATCTGGGCGAGTCTATCCTAGTTAGAAGAGTGTACCGTTATTGTACCATCTCTATTTATCACAACGACACCATTGCCGACTTAGTTTCGATAGATATAGTGGATGTTTATTTTGTTCTAGTTATGGATAGTGTTCATGCTTGTTATGCCTCAGTGGAATGTAGAGCTGGAGTAGTCACGTTTCTGTTTCACAATGAGAAGGGTTTAAAGTAAAAGTTGTAACATCTCGCATCTAGAAAGAACTATAAATTAGTTTAAAATCTTTAAATAGTTATAAAGGGGAAGTGTAAAAGAAATCTTGAAACTTAAGTAATTAAAAAGTGAGTTTTTGTTTAGCTTCAAACGGCCATAACTCCTGGCTCAGGAGGAATTGAGTATAGTTCTAGATATGGTTAGAAATCTCCCGAAAAGATCTTTCCAAATCCAAGATTTCAAGATTTAAATTTCTTATGAGTGATTTATGCTCTCTAGAAATTGGGCTATTAAAAAAAGGAAATTTCCCAAATTTGGATTCATAAAGGGTAGTTTGGTCGTTTTCTTATCCTATTAATTTATTTAGTTTTTGGTAATCAAGTGAGGAGTCTAAGTTGAATTAGATAAAATTAAACTTCTTACAAAAGAGTTAGGGTTTTGATAGAAAATAAAAGATCGGGAGAAAGATGTGAAAGGAGAAGGGCGTTCAAGATTCGTCAAAATCGTCGAATTAACTTGTGGATTTCGTTAATGGTGATCCCTAAAAAGGTATGTGGGTATATCTCAACATGGGATCCGTTCCCCTATGTGCCAAGCATGGTTTATTCGGCGTGTTTTCAGTCCAAAAAGATTAGATTTTGAATAATCCTGAATTGTTTTTCTTGAATTTCTTTAGTTGTCTAACATGAGTTGAGATTTAGGAGTTCTTTGATTATATAACAGTTATTCTTGAATTTATTGGGTTAGATCTTCGTATATATAATGTGGGAACTTAAATCTCTTTGAGTTTGATGAAAGAAATTGAAAAAGAATTTTTTAACGTCAGAAAAATGAGATGAAATTCTTCCGGCGTAACCTTGGGGGGCGGCAGGCGCGGCGCACCCAATGTGCACCAAATGGCCTGGGGCAGCGCGCCTCTAATGCTCCATTTTGGTGCTTCAATTAGCTAGTATTATTCGCAAGGAAGAATGTTATTTTCCTTTATATGTATATTAATTAATTCATGTTTACCTAGGTCACTATATGGAATAAACCCAAAACAATTTGCTTAAAGATACCTCACAAAACCTTGACATCACAAGTATAAAGTCGTGTTAAGAAAAAATTGTAGGTCATAAAAGTGGACCAAAACAATGTGGTCTCAAAAAGAATAAGATGAACTTTACAGGGTTCATAAGGAGACAACACATGTACATGATGTCAAGTGCTCACTCTTCTCTGGTCCCTGCGTCCAATCAGATTGATCCTAATGAATTCACATATTCAAGCTCAACTTAGTGTAAATTGAAGGTGTAGCCTAGCATGAGGTCAATTGTGCGCGCTCAAAATAATAAGGACGGAGATTATACTTTTGAAACGATCTCTGAAATTTACCACAATATCAAGAATACGATCACAAGATCAATACAGTCGTACATACACTAAAAACACATAAAACATAGATGGAGAAATTATAGAATCAAACGAGATTTGTGGGACCAGTGCTGGAATTTTTTTATTTGACTCAATTAATAGGACCTATAATATTCATCAAATTTATGTACAGAAAGTTTACTCAATTTGGGTCTTGAGACAATAAAAAACAACAATCAAGCAATAAATTAACAATAAATCTTATCTAAGGCAAAAACATTACAATCTAAATTTACCTCAAAAGGAAATTTACCTACTCAATTCAATTAACCACGAATCATTGAAAATTATAGATATGTGTGACATTGAATTTTTTAAATCGTAGCTTAGATAATTGAGAAATGGTATATTCAATTAAAGAGAAAATATGCCTTCATCTCCATATCATATTTAAATACAGGACATGAATCATGTAGCACAAGTCCTGCGACCATGACCTTGTTGGTAAGTTTGCCACCCTTAAATGCATAGGGAGATTTAGTGAACACGAAGGTTAGCAGAGTCTAGGTCCCCGCATACACGATAAAGTCCTCCAAACGCAAAGTCTCACGAATGCAGATGAGACTATCGCAAACATGAAAGATACTCCCACTAGTCTGTGAATATGATCCTCAACTATGAAGATAAAAAATAGTCCACACCATCTATTGCATATATACTACATCATCATGTTCCAAATTCTCCAATCGGGCACTCTGAATTCGTTCAAAACCCTCTAATTGTAAAAGATTATGCAACCCAACAGAATTTGCTATACTAGGTTCAATGAAGAAGTCACTATTTCCATACGAAGTCATCTCTTGGAAGAGTGGGTCCCATTCCCAAACTCTTCTTTATGTGAAAATTCATAAGAAGACTAAGAATCAACCCAGAAGCCCGGTGACCTAAAAATAGTCATTCTAGACCAAACTCAATACTTAGGTGCAAAAAACGGTGAATGGATTTTCATGTGATCTTATTTACTCAGAATGTTGACTAAACTAAAATTTAGGCCTGAAGTTAAATATTAAAAAGCTTTTGCATACACTCATAGAGAAAGCTTTGGGAATAGTGTCAAGTATGCTACTTTTCAAAATTGATCCTTTCAGAGGTAATACAATTGTCAGAATTGAATTTGAAGGTCATCTTCTTGAACATTGTATAAAAAATGACTATTCAAGGTTCAAAAGATAAAAAATACTAAAACTCTCATAATAACTATACAAACGACAAGATTACCAAATTATAAGTCTCATCTAGGAAAAAATGAAATGATGAACAAGAGGCATAACAAATTAATTACATACAGTTAATTACAGTTCAGAGTTTTTGTACTATAGTTTTCATATCACATGGAGTTAATTCCACAATTTTTTGTTTATAACTCATTGAGTTTATAAGAACTTTATTTGCTATTGCTTTAATTAGTAATTGTACTATAGTTTAATTAGTATTTTCCTACTTTTTATGTAAAAATTTTGCTTTTGATAATGTTTGATGGGTTTGATTGGGTTACTTAATTGGTTATCCACGTGGCAGCTTTCGTGGGTCTCCCTCATGATGCTTTGGGTTTTGACAATCAACCTAAATATTATACGAGTTTACGCCACAAAAACGTATAATCTATCTAATGTGAATTTGTAAAGTAAACTCATATTATATACTTAAAGTTTAACTTTAAAAAATTGATTATTATTAATCACAAAAATGGACAACAAGTAAATTGTAGCTTCACCTCTAAATTACGTTAACATGAAAAGATAAATAGACAGATTATTCTTATGTAATTAAGGTTAATTGATCAGATTTTAATTTTTAAAAATGTCCAAATACGAGGAATAGAATTATCATATTTTCGAAAGAGTAAATTCAATCATATTTG